TGGACAGACAAAGAGAACTATCTAGTATGTAGGAGATTTGTGGAGAGCTTGTGTGTTGGATCAAGGTGGATCGTGGGATAGTTAATTATCGTTGCTTGAATTACCTACAATGACAATGATCATTCTAGTATCGGAATGAAATTGTATGAGGCTTTGTATGGTAAGAGGTGTAGGAATCCTTTGTGTTGATGTGTGTCAGGCGAGAGTGTTGTACTCGGACCTGAGATTGTGCAAGAGACGACTATAAAGATTAAAAGGACCCAAGAAAAGACGTGTTTCGAGAGTTATAATAGTAACTGGTGTCGGTCGAGCTTGAGGTCTCGGAAGCACCCACTGTGTTTTGTTGATCTGTATCAGAGTGGCGCAGCGGAAGCATGGAGAAAATAGCATGTTAGATTGTTTTACCGCGGTAACTTGTGGGAATTGCATGATGTGTTCATGTGTCTAAGTTGAGGAAGTGCATTGATTCAGATGGATAGTGTACGAGTGAGAGAGGATTTGATTGTTGAGACATTGCCAGTTCAGGTTGATGAACGAGAAGCAACTTCGAGGTATAGAGATTCCTTTGGTGGAGGTAGTTGGGAGATTAGGATGCGAGAGTCGTATCCAGAGTTATTTGAATCAGGTAACATTTTCGAGGACGAAAATTCCTAAAGTGGGGGAGGGTTATAACAGCCCAATTTTTCAATAAGTGATTAATTGTGCTAATTAATTGGTTTATGTGATTTATCTGATTTAAATAAATTATTGGATTTATTTAAATGAGTTAATGGATTTAATTAATTTATTCTACTTGGTAGAATAATGTGGATGTATTAGATATTCTCTAATTAATGATAAAATGAGATATTTTGTGAGAAATGAATTGATAGATATTTTTGAGAGAAGAATTATGATGGAAAGAAAATAAAAGGATATATAAGGGAAATTGGAGAGAAAAGAAAAGAGATAGAAACATCAGAGAAAGAAAGAAAGAAAAGGAGAGAAAGAATAGAGAAAGAGGAGAAAAGAAAAGAGAAGAGGGAAACTTAGAGAAATCATCAAGAATCAACTTCAAGCTTCAATCCAATCAAGGTAAGGGTGAGAAACATTATTATTTGATCAATGTGTATGATTATGTATGAGTTGTGTTGGATTTGTTGGTAGTTTTCTCTATTTTCCATTTCTAGGGCATAAATGGTTTAATCGGTAGAATCGAGTTTTGAACGGTTAGAATTCAAAATAAATTGCATAGTTTAGTCGGGTAATGTTTAGCCGTGATTATTGGATTTCGTTTGATTGAATTTGGTTGAGTTTGTGAGTTTTGACATTTTTGGATAATTGAGGGTTTGAGATTTAAGTGAAAATCGGACGTCGTAGAAATCGTGTTTAATGGTTCTAATTCAATGCTATATGTTAGGTGAGTATGAGTATGTGTTTGTTTCGAAAAAAAGAATTGAATCGGTCGGATTTTCGGGCGAAAATGCAAAATCCCGTAGTCGTGTTTAGGCAAAATTCTGATTTTTCGGAAAACTTCGAAAATTCATAACTCTTGAACCGTAAGTCGGTTTTGACCCCCGTTCGAAGCGTTGGTAAGTTAACGAGATTGTCTTTCTAGAAAAAATGGCTTTGAGGCCTGTACCTAGTTCAATTATAGCAGAAAATTGAAAACATATTGTTGTGTTGATTTTTACCGTCGCGAATGTGTGTGATTGATGTGTTATTGTGCAGAATACTTTTGTTATATAACATATAGCTTGTGCATGTTATGATATGATATGTTGTGGGTATCCGTATGACGTGAATCCTAGATGGTGGAATCGATTATGAACTATAGTCTTTTGATAAATATATGCATATTGTTTGTATGTGAAGAATGCATGAGAACATATTGTGAATATGTGTGCATTGCTTGATAAATATGGTAATGATATTGAAGTGTAAATGCATATTGATTGTATGCAATATTGTGAATGCATGGGAGCATATTGTAGGATATGCGTGCATTGTTTGACAAATATTTTGATGAAAAGTATGAATACTTGATTATATGATATATTGTGTGTGCAATCTTGTTTAATTCTTGAAGGGAGGAATTATGTGAATGCATGAGATTAAGACGTGTGATCGGTCTTAAGTGCATTTTGTTGTTGATTGCATATGCATCATTTAGTCAAGAGGCAATGTTTGCTAGTTTCGTGGAGGCTAGTGACTTGTCCCAAACCTAGAGCGGAGTTTGAAAGCTTAGGGAACGGGCTTTTGTTGTTATCGGTCTAGGGAATGGACCCGGTTTAAGTGTAAAAACCGAAAAATGATAACAAGTGTTGGTACCACATGGCATGAGTTGCATTGAGTCTCATGGAATGAATATATGATTGTTGTATGAAGTTATGCATAGGTGTATGTACATGACTTGTGTAATTGTGAACTATGGATATGTTTGATGATTGTCCATATTTGCCTATATATATATATATATATATATATATATATGCTTTGTGAAGTATATGATGAGTTATGATGAAGTATGGTGAGAATGGTGGAATATGCGTATGTGCATTACTTGTGTAATTGAGAGTTGTGAATATGTGATCATTGTATGAAAGTATGCTTATGAACATGAATTGTTGATTTGAGAATTGTGAATGTGTAATTGGGAATTAGTGAGTAAACATAATATGTGTATGTTCATGTGGAATGTTGAGATTTATGGATACGTGCATGATGAATATGCTTGGTGATTATCCATATTTGATTATATATATATGTTGTATTGTACATGATGAGTTATAATGAATTGTGGTGAGAAAATGTGGAATATATATATTTTGTGCTTGTGTATTTGTGTATATATAATTATATGCATTGTTATTATGATAATATTTCTCACCCTTCTGCTGGAATGATGTCCTACATGATATCGTGCAGGTATCAAGGAGTAGTATTGCTCGTAGTTACGAGGTCGCTTTTGGTGTAGCCGTTTAGTGATTTAATTATGTTGGGTCGAGTCATGCTCTAGTCATGTAACACTGGGATCACTTCGGTTGTGTTTAAGATATACATTGTGTACTCTATAAACGTGTTTATATCCATTGGAATATTATGATGTTGGCCTTAGTGCCTAAGTGATGTTGTTTTATGTGATAAAAACAAATATTTCTTTTATGAAAATTGTGGTATAATTGAATCCGCTGCTACATGCAAAGTGAAGTTTTGTAAAGCATAATTTTATATTGAAATAGTAATGAGCATGACAGGTGGTTTTGATATTTTGAAAGTTATGTGTAATTCCCTTTTGTAAATGCATGGAAATTTACTCTGATTATTCATATATTATCCGTGGGGTTTAGAAGGGTGTTACAAATAGTATGTGACACTTTCATCTTAACTCTTCCAATTTTGTATCCTTTCCTAATACCACCTTTGAATTTTGACTCAGGCTCCCCTTGAATCCAAGATCCCTCTCACTTTCAATCAAACACTCTTCCAAGTATTTGCAAGATAACAATTATATGTGGCGTGATAAATCACAATTACAACCAAATAATTTATTCTTTTAACTTAAGAAAGACACTTAATAATAAAGTATTACAAACAAAATACAAAAGACTCTCTAAAATAAAAACTCTCAACTGAGTAGATATCATCTCTAAAAGCACGTCTTCAAATACGAAAAAAAATCTCTTTATATAGAGATTACGGTTCAACCAAAAGCCCATTAGAAAAAAATTAAAATTCAACTGAAACAAACCAAATATTGCATTTAAAACAAATTCAATTTAGCCTGTCCATGCAAGATTTGTTTGATTGTATATTTTCCAATCAATATATTTGGAAACCAACTTTAACAAAATCTTAAACTAAACAAATCTTAGATAAATTTTTCCTTCAAAGCATATCCAATTAAACATTTCATTCAAAACATATTCGTTTAAATCTTTTAATCAATGTAAATCTAACTTAATTTTTTCAATCTGATTTTGACAATTAAAACCTTTTAAATCATAATATTTACAAAACAAATATATAAAATCTTGAATAAATCAAGCATTACTGGATCACAAAATTTGTAATCAACCGTAGAATTAAATGAGTCAAAATCAAACTTTTCAAAAATAGCTCAGTACAAAAACAAGTAGTCTTCAACAACTTTCGAGACATCTTTCTTTATATTTTGCTTTTTAAATGTAATACCAATTTTTCCTAAAGCCATCCTTTCCTAACCCGCAAGTAGATTATCAGGGATTCAAATCAACCAATGTATAAATGGAATAAACATTCATTAGAGCATGTATAAAAAGAACTTCTTAAGAAGTTTAACATAGTGGAATATAAGTCTATATCAACTCATATGCACCCAACCTCTGATTCAAAGTGTAAAAGTGTTTCGAAATCTTTATTAAAAACCTACAAATAAAAATGGATTAAGGTTAAAAGTGCTTAAAATTAAAAGAATTAACAACTATAAAATCATATAATTTACTGTCATCAATTGACAAGGGCGATTGTGCATCAATTTAGAATCATCAAGTTCTTTATAAAGGATAACTTCAAATATAAGGTTGACACACACCATACCATGATTGAAATGTATCATTGTTGTTCACTGAAATATTCTAAATATGTAAATTTTACAAAACATTGTCATATATCCAAAGAACAAAAACATAAAGTGAAAAGTGCCATGTATTCATTATCATTTTCAATCTTTTCCTATTTATTTATTTTTTATCGGAATAAAGAATATTTTAGTAATTTGTGAGTGTGGAGGTAAAATTTGAGGGGTATGAAGTAAATAATTGGTGTGTTTAATATTTCCAACCCATGGGCCGATCCTTGAGTCCAATTCAAAACCCAACAAACTCCACTTCTTCCTCGTCTGAAATTAACGAAATACTTGATCTTCTCTCATTCATTCTCTCTCACACTGCCATCATTTCATTACAACGTAATGTTAATGTAAGATCGATGAAATCTTGATCGCTTCTTCTTTCCTCCCAATCCTTTTTCACTATACCAACATGGACGAAGATTTGCTCAAGCGTAACACCGATTGCGTTTATTTCTTGGCTTCACCCCTCACTTGCAAGAAGGTTCTCTCTCTCAACCTTTCAATCTCATTCTCCTTCACAATCGCTCTTTCGCTTGCTGTTTTGTAATGCATTTTCTCTAACCCTATCGTAGTCACGTTTTTCGATTTGCGTAGAACGTAGCTTTTGTTTCCGTTTTCAGTTAGGTTAAATATCTATGTGTTGAACAATGCTCGGTGTTTGAAACTTGTATGACTGGTTTTGTTGATGTATTTAGCTTGAGATTTGATGTATTTACTGTTTTTTTGTTTGTTTTTGTTTTGGTTACAGGGTGTAGAGTGTGAGTATAGGCACCATGAAATTGCGAGGCTTAACCCGAGGGATTGCTGGTACTGGTTATCTGGGAATTGTCTTAATCCGACTTGTGCTTTTAGACACCCTGTGAGTTCTTCATTACTTTTGTCTTAATCCAAATTTTCGTTTGCTACTTACTTTTTTTGTATGTGTATTGGAATTACTGAAATTATGATGTTAATTTTGACCTAATTTGTGCTGTTAGGGTAGTTTTTGCGTTTGATGGTTAATTTTGTTGGGTTAATGTATTGTTGTGTTTATTGGTTGCTGGAACCTATTATGGTTTATAAAATAAACACTCTGCTAAAGAAAAAACCTAACATATATAGACTTATGAAGATTGTGACAACTAGCCTGTAATGTTAGCCGGAAAAAGCATTGTGGTCACCTTCTTAGTAGCTTGTGGTGCTAAATAAAAGGCACATGGTCTATTATATAGCAGCAGAAGAACTGGTTCTTTGTCCTCCTCACCTTGTAATGTTACTCTAAGACTGGGCTGCGCTTTTCAACAACTTAGCTATACCTATAGTGCATCTGAGAAATGGACACACAGTGTCTTGCATAATTAGTCTCTTGTTTTGGTCTGTAAGACAGTGATGTATGATGTATTATGTGTCTATGTAATTTCTTGTCAACAAAATAATATAAACCATTTGGTTCTTTGAACACACATTGTACATTGTTGCTTCTTAGGCTTTGTTTGAGAGTTTGGAGGGAAAGGGAGAGATTTGAAAAAAGGGAAGAATTGAGTGAAAAGAATAGAGGGAGGGCTTAGATAAATTGTTCAGATATGATCTATGTTTTTATTGTATTCCAAAAATTAAAAATATGTTAATGATAAACATTATTTATCATTATATACAAAATCATTCTTTCAAAAAATGTTAACGATTTCTCCATATTTGAAAAAACATTCTTTTTTTTCGAAGCCCTGCCTTCCCCTCCCCTCCTAACTCGCAAACAAAGCCTAAAATATCAATTTGGAAGGCTCAAAATCCCATATCATCTCCATGTTTAGTATAATGAGTTGTATTTTCTAAAAGTCTATTTTCCACCTGACATTGGACGAAAGAGCTTTGTGTATGATATGCACATTGTTTCCTGAATTATATGCATCTGCTCTTACCTTGTAGTTATCTTGATGATTTTGGTTTCTTAATTGATTATTTGGACGGATAGATTTCATGATTAAAAATGTCAAACTAATGAACAGGTACATATAATTCACTGCTTTTTTAATATACTGTAAAATTGTAAAATTCTTCTGTTAGTATTATATTTCCACACTCCCCCTCCAAATTGCATATTTATTTATTTTTATTTTCTCTTATTTAATATTAATCCATCTGCTCAGCACTTACCTTGTCACTTTCTTCTCATTTTTGTAATTTTTGTCAGCCATTGGACGGGCATGCTGGAGTGCCATCTGAACCTATACAATCTTCCGTACCTGCATCTGCAAACAAGACAATGGTTCCTTGTTATTTTTTCTTCAATGGTTTTTGCAACAAAGGTAGCAAATGCTCATTTTCACATAAGCCTGATGATAGCTTGCTCGTTGTAAAGCCTTCGAAGAATGACACTTTGAAGCCTTTGAAAAATGACACTGTAAAGCCTTCGAAGAATGACACTGTAAAGCCTTTGAAAAATGACACTGTAAAGCCTTTGAAGAACGACACTGTAAAACCTTTGAAGAACGACACTGTAAAGCCTTTGAAGAATGACAACGGAAACATTCATGCACTCAACTTAGAAAATAAAGCTTTATCAGGAAATAAAACATCTGTAGCACCAACACCAAGGGAAACACATTTTGAGCAATCTTTATCTGCTCCAAAAGCTCTGTCTGATACTAGACTTAAGTCTAAGGAAGACCTTCAGTTACCATTACCCAAAAATGTTAAACAGCAAAGTGTTTGCTTGGAATTTTCTTCATTTGACTATAATGAAGCTGCTGTGACTCAGTCAGACTCTCTGGTACCAGACAATGGTTTTGCTCATAATATGTCTCATTCATGCTCTGAGCAGAGTTCAGAGGAGCAGGAAAACTGTCATGTAGAGCCTGAGGAACGGTGGGAATCCTCCCCTGGATTTGATGTTCTTGTTCATGATGAATCCGAGAATCTGGGTTATGAGAATGGTTCTGAATATTTGCCACTGCTTGATATGGATGACCACGAACTGAATGAGCAATACGCAGGGTATGAATATAAAAATACAGATGAGTACGACACCATCTGCTCAGATGCTGATATTCTGTATGAACAGGCAACATGTGATGATTACAGATGTTTTGATAGAGATTTTGCCAGTGAAAGGGAAGTTTATGGTTATTCCAGAGAGATAGCATTAGATTCTATATTTTCCAGGAAAAGGGTTCGGATGTCAGCTGCTGAGATGGATGCTTGTGACTCTGACTTAGATCTACGTCACCATCTGAGAAGACGCAGGGAGGTCAATGATCCTGCTGTCACTGGTTTCTTTAGAAGACATGATGAGCCATCTTCTTTGATGGTTCGAAACCAGGAAAGGCATCGAAGGGGCGATGTTGTTCAGCAACAAAATAGAAGATTAACATCACAATTAGGATTTAGTTCAATCAGAGAGGTCGAAGATCTTTCAATTGCTAACAAGCACAGGTTATTTAGGCCTTCCCAGCAAAATAGGCCAAGAAAGCATTATAGAGAAAAACCAGCTAAACGACCATTTCCTTCATCTAAAGTATCCAGGCAACCAGTTGTAAAGCAACAGAGAGTTATTCAGGAATCCAGTACATTTTCAGGGCCCAAGACTCTTGCAGAAATAAAAGAAGAGAGGAAGAAGGCTGGTGAAAGTTCACATTGTGAAAGCTCGTCAGCTGGTTTCCAGGATCCCAAACCACTGCATGAAATTCTCAAAGATAGAAGGACCATGGACTGAGTGAGAGATGGCAATACCTGCAACATTTGAATAATGAGATTAAAATGACCGATGATTCAAAGGATTAGTTTTTACCAAAGATAATGAGTTAATATCGGCTGTTGGAGGTGCTTTCTTTTTATTTCTTTTGTTGAAATTGGAGTTTCTTTCTAGCATCCTTTAGTGTGCTGGGTTAGTAGGTGATATGTTTTTGTTCGAGTGAGGTGACTCTTAGATAAGTGGAGTTAATCTAGAGTGGATTACTGATTTGGATTAATTTTGTGTTGTTTTGGCCTACTTGTTTTTGTCGTCTAAAGCTGCTTATCAAAAGTCACTACTCCACTTTTTGTATGGTTAATCGGCCCTTTTTTTTGGCTTTTCTAGATTGTTGCAATATTAGGGATACCAAATTTAAACGGATATAGTCATTATTAGTAATAGTTGTTTATGAATTTTAAAAAAGTATATGAATTTGAGGATCTTTACATAAATAATTTCCTTCTATATACATATGCAATTTAATTTTTTAAATAAGGATGCATTATAACTATGAAGTTTGCTTTTGAAACCTAGTACAAAGAATAAGTCTTGAAGAATTGCTTTCAAAAGCATAGTTCCGGACTTCTAATACATACATATCCAAATCAAATTTCTTCATGTCATTATTCAATACTCCACTCTAGATTAACATTGAAGTTGGACTTTGTTACTACTTGAAGAAGCGAGGGATATGTGGCTCGGACTTCCCTTAGCAATTTTGCCGGGTCACCTTCGATTGAAGTGGAAAGGTTTTGGGTTTTCAAGCTGACCTTCGATTGAAGGGGAAAGGTTTTGAGGGGAAGTTGCTTACATTGGGAAAATAAAGGTTTTGGGTTTTCAAGCTGACCTTCGATTGAAGGGGAAAGGTTTTGAGGGGAAGTTGCTTACATTGGGAAAATGCGCGTTGAATACCCATCTCGTAGCTGCAATGTGTCACGAGATGACCTTGACGTGTGGTTTTAGGTTAGATAGTGTGATGACCCTCTTTTTAGGGCGCTTGGGTGTTTAAGAAGATCAAGACGAGATCATGATCCTTGGTGGCACAATTGTACTTTTCGATGCTATCTAACATTGATCGTGTGACACTTGTACCAAGGGATACACAAGGAATTCAAAGATAGCTTTTTCCCTCTTTACCACTCTTGAGACCTTGAAATTCCTCACATGTTTTTCTACAATTGCTTCCAATTTTGGAAACAACTTCTGTCAATTATTACTCGTATCTATGGTGTCTCTCTGGCATTTTCTTAGAGGTAATGACCAAAATTTCTTTTTCTTTTGTATTTTATTTCCCCTATTTTTTAGTTTATTGAGAAGATGGTTATGGAAGACTTGAACGAAGAAATTACGGCTGAGGATGGAAGGGTGGAAGATAACCTCGATCTTAGAGAGGTCACCAGAGGTTTCACTTTTCGTGTTTACCTCTAATGAATCCAATTGTTATAAATGCCTTTGAGCATGAATTCAAGGCCCATACTTAGATTAGAGTGTTTCCCACATACAACAAGGTAATATGGTGGTTGGAATCTCAATCTAGTGCTTATACTTATAGTCGTCCTCTTTTGTGTATTGATAATAATTTTGCAATGGACCATCACTCTCGTCAAGAAACTCTTATCACAAAGGAAGACAATTTAACTGTGTGGATGAATCAGGAAACATTGGATGTCGTATCCATGTTTGTTGGTAAGGGTGGTCTGGACCTTGCTTTCACCGAGGTGGATTCCCTATTGGATTGGGGAATGCTTCCTCTTGAAAGAGATAAAAGAGTGTGCAACAAGTTTGAGGGGTGCATTATCCCTCTTCATGAGTGATTGTTTCTTCTGATAGATCTTCGTCTTCCTTTTAATGACATCGAGGTTAATGTTCATAACCATTTGAGAGTTTCCTCTTCACAATTGAACACGGTGAGTTGGGTCTATGCCAAAGTCTTCTAGTACTGATGCGAGTATAAGAAAAGTGTGCCGACCTTGACGTTTTTTTCTCCACCTCTTCAACATTCAACGCCAATCGGATGACTGGGAACAAGATTAGGACTTACTTTCTCTTAGGTTGGAACAAAAGATGTTTGAGGTCTATTATGATAGAGTGAAGAACTTCAAAGAATGATACTACCTGGTTACTCCGCTCCTTAAGGTTATTCACGCGAGTAGGTGTGACGTCCAATTTGATGTACCCTCGAAATGTTTGCATATGTTTCCTAAATTCTGGTGTCAAAATCCTTTCCTGACCGGGGCCGAGAGTTATATTTACCTTCTTGGCAATCTTTCTCAAGAGGAGACTTATTTGAAGAAGAAATTGATGGCTTTCTAGAAAGTCTTAAGCTTATTTGTCGACATCATGTCTTCTGGGATGACGTTGTAGAAACAAAAGAGTCGTTACATAGAGACGCACTTGTCGGTGTAGGTTACAACCAAAGAGGAGATGTGTTATATCTTTGGTAAGTTGTGCAAGAGATTTCTTCCTTTCTATTATCATTTTAAAGTGAATGTCTCAGGATTTATTTATTTTTCGCTTGGAGATAAGATGAGGTGCCACAAAAGAATGTTTCAGATGAAGAAGACACCTAGAGTTATACCTTCTTCTTTCGAGGCCATTGCTTTGTCAGTCCCGGGCAGAGTCAAATTTTTGGGTATCCATAATAATCTGGCCCCATTTATCCTTCATGCTCCAGCTCATAAAAGACGTGAATCATTCATAATCAGATTGTAACGGGGAACACCTTATCACCGTCGTTATATGCGAATGAATGGATTCCTTTTAATGGATATGCCATCAAAACATATCTTGTCAAAGAGTCGTCCAAGAAAATACCTCTAAGAGATATCTGGATTCAATAAGATCCGGTCCCGAGGGAAGCTCATCAATAGTCTTTGATTCTTTATCATCATTACTTTTGGCCCATCCCGACCCTTAGACGACTAGGGAACTTAAATCTTTTGTTTCTAAAGAAGAATATGCTTACTTTTTTAGTAAGGATCAAGTTGATAGTCAAGAAGAAGTGGAAGAGATGTCGTATACGATGCACAGAGCTTCGATGGCCCTAACATTTGGTGCCACCAAAAGAGGAGATGTTTTCTTTCTTGTTCCTCTTTGAAAAGAGAAAAAGGTGCTCTAGAAGCATGTTGTCGACCTTACTACTGAGAGAGATTGGATTCTAGAGGAACTCCTTAATACAAATGTATTTTTTAAGGATATGGGGAACAAGATACAATCCTTTGGTTAACCTCACTTGTTGGTCAAAAGGGCACAACCATTGGCTCAAAAAATAAAGAAGAAGGTCTCCATATTGACATATGTCTGGACAATGCTATCTAATACTGAGGCTGCCCTTGGTGACACAACTAAAGCATTATATTCTTCCCTCATGATGGTAAATGACATGCGAGCGTCTTTGAATGAAGCCCGAGAAGGTCGAAAGAAGGCTTAAGATGACCTTTGAGAGATTCATCTTGAAAATCTTGACTTGTCCAAGGAGTATGCGATGTCGGTGGAACATGGTTTTATGTTCTACAAGATTTATTTGAAAATTATTTGAGGAAGGTGGAATTTTTCCATCCTAGTGTGAAAATATCAAGGGAACATATTCATCATAAACAAGAAATAGTCGATGAGAGGCCAATGAACATTTGGGATGAGCCATACTCGTAGTTTTTTTTGGTGGGGGTGCTCTTTCCTGATTTATTATTTGCCATTGAATGAATGGTCATGTATTTTTATTTCATTCTTGTTTCTTTGTTTTCTTATTCTATTTTTGTACTTGCTACATCTTTTTCCTCAAGTCTGAGTTGGCTTCTCTGGGAATTGGAAGTTGTCTGAGACCCTGCTTAGAAGTTTTATTGGACGTCTCTGAGGAACATGCTTCACCAATGGTTTTATCCTCTTCCCTCTCCCCAATTTTAAACTTGGTTTGAGGTCGACATATTGGGGACTCACCTCCTGCGCTATGGTATGGCTAGCTACAAAGAGGAAGGTAAGCCCAGATAACCATTTTGTTTCATGGGTTGTTCTCTTTATCCGCGTGACTTTATAGTGAGATTTTGATTGTTGTAGTTATACATCTGCGATGTTTATTAAAACAACCCTGGGTCGTACCTATCCTTTTCGTGTTCATAAATATGAGAGTTTAGTAAAGATTTTATTCATTGTCTGGGAGAAAATACTATACGACGGTATAAATTAGGTTTTACACGCATGAATTAGAAATACTTAATCAAGCAATTATGTAATTACTTATTAATTTCCAAGCGCCTTTGTAGGGTTTAAAGTTGTTTACTTTGGGCTACCTTATCTTCTGTCTCCTGTAGCTACTGAATTAAAACATTTTAAATTATACTTGATAGAAGCACCAATTTCTTTCTTTGGTGGTTGATTGTCATCTATCTTAAGAGCTTGCTTAGGCATACCATGTTGACCTCCACCACACATTCTTTACCTTTTTCGTCCCAGTCGCACCAGAAGGAATTGTGTATCCTCTGATTTCCAATTAAATCAGCACATATCTTTGTTGTATTATCATGGACGGTGTGGTATTTCATTTTTAGGTGAACTGGAGAAGCCACAATGTCTAGCGTCATAGTGAAGGGTTTTCCCATGATATAATTGTAGTCATTCTTAAATGTGACCACCAATAACTATATGTCTACCACCCTAGTATCTCTTTCTTTCCTAAAGGTAACCACTAGGTCGATATAACCCTAGAGGCGAGTAAATGAGTCATTAAAGGCTTGTAAGTGGGATCTCTCATATGGTGAAAACTTCTCTCTCTTTAGCCTGTGTTTCTTGAAAAGCTTCACATACATGATTCACATGAACTTCCTCTGTCGATGAGGATTCTCAACACATCAAAGTTAGCCATATTTTTCATTATCACCAAAGGGAAGATTTCTTTCGAGATACCACCCACCTTTTCACTATTGCTGAACTCGAGGTTAGGATCTCAGACCTTCCATTAAAGATTGTATCTCCCCATTTACTAACTT